ATTCCCAAAAGGGTTGAAACCGTCAGTGGCCAACCCCAGGCGTACATTGCGAATTTCCTCAGAGAACGTCGGGTACCGAATGATCAAAACTCTTCCATGTAGGATTATCTTCCGGGTGAGGCATCTTGCCGTCGTCTACACGCCCTTCGGCATGCCATCTCATAGAAGATGCAGTTTTCGAAAATACAAACCATCGCTGCAATCGCGGAATCAATGGAAAGTACCGTAACTTCACGGGAGATCTATCTTTACCCTGTGCAAATCTCTTTTCCACACACACAACAGAAACATCACGGTCAACATCTTCCCCGATGAACAACATGCAATTGTTGATGCATGCATGGATAGTCTTGCATGTGAAGCCCAAGTCCTTCATCAGCTTGTTAGCCTCATAGAAGTTCTTCGGAAGCACGACATCGTCTGGAAATGCATCCCTCAACAACTCTAATAACAAATCAATAGATTTATTAGACCAGTGGCACAAAACCTTCAAGTACAAAAGGCGTGCGATAAATGAGAGTCTACTCATCTTCTTGCACCCAGGTATAAGCTCTTTCTCTACATCTTCTAACATCTTTTTGTACCCATTACTGCCAAGATGTATATGTTCATCTTCCTCATCTCTGTGAGGTGCGTTTCCGCTTGGAACATCATCGGTGTGCTCTGTATATGCACACTCTCGCAATAGAAGTTCTAGTTCATCCTCCCAACGCATTGGCACGTTGTCGTTTGAAGCAGCATGGTTCACCTCTCCTTTTCCGTGGCAAGTCCAAACCTTGTAGGTTTGGTTGAAACCATAACGAATACAATGGAGCAAGATATCTCTACGAGTTTTCGTTAAGCGATTTCTGCATACGTACAGGGGCAATAGATGCAAGCATCAGAGCTACGATCTTTGAATGCGAAATCTAAGAAAGCCCTGACCCCATCCAAATATTGAGCCGAGATATGGTTCGCATCGTCTATCCAACTCCTATCCATATAACAAGGTAATACATGCGATTGTATCAACGAAACATGCAACCAAAAACCTAATGTTTAAGTCCTATCACGGACGTAGACTCAAATTTAAAAGAATAAATTTATCTCATCGGTTTGCATAAAATGCATTTACGTCTCTAGAAGTTCATGTTCTCTACATATAAACATAAAATAACCTTCACCAATATACTAGGAAACACGGATGCTATATATGACACTAGCATTATACTTTATCGTAGCATTAAGCCACATGGTTTAAGATAAGCAGTCCTCCTCACTTCAAACCCTTATATCGATGCCCCCTAAATAGTAATAAATAGATTTCGACTCCCCATCAAAATTTATGATCGGCCATTTGTAGACACAAGGCAAATTTCTCACTATTCTAACTTTATTACAGTGAAACTAAGAAGAAAAAATAACGATGTCGATGCTAGAGATGAAGGATATGTAATGCTAGTACGTCAAATTTAATATAATTAAGAAAATAATTACTTAATTACGAACAAATAAGAGATTACATGCAGTTCTTGCCTTATGTCCACACAAATATTAGAAGTGGCAAGTATATGTTTTACCAGTGTAATTATGAAAGGCAAAGCTGATGCAAAGTCATTAAGCATGCAATTTGAGTTAATTGTCAATGTATAGATGTGTTCTAAAATGATGAAATTGAATATGTTATTCAGCTGGTGCACATCGATGATCATCTGTAGGATAGAATTCATGGTGATGATGATTTCCTTTCTATGTTGGTTATGCCTCATGTAGAAACCCTTTAAAACAAATAGGAAATAATTATGAAATCTGATGGGAAAAAATGTTTCAGATTAATGGGAATGCACTTAACACTTCATGGCACCACCCACCCAATAAACAAACATCACAAAAAAGTTTCTGCACAGTGGTATAGCGTCAAAAGGAAAGCAGACCTTTCGGTAAACTCAAGGTTGGGTATCCTGGATGAGCACAGCACGCCTCCGTTGACACACAGTCACTTTCTATAAAAAAACAGAAGTTAAAGATGCACTAATTTTCAATGAAAACGGTACAAAGTACTACATTAATTAAACATGCACTAATTCACATTCTGCATTTTCTCTTTTAGGACTGAATTAGAACCATATATACCAGTTTTAGGATTCCATAGAAGATTTCATGGAACCAGTAAGTGGCGGTGATGCAAGTATTGACAATTTAACAGATCAAATCGGTGCTGTCAAATTTCTCATAAGTCAATCGTTCACATAGTAAGCAAAGATAGCAAGTATGCAAATAGCACCTACTTATGAACATTCTACAGGTTTCAACAAAACTCTACTGTTGTTTATGCAACTCTAGATTGAATAAAATAAAGGAGATGGGATCTCATTGTCTGAGGCATCGGGAGTATTTAAAGAACCCACAGACAGGGCCATTAATAAGTATAGAGAACCAACAATTATCCACAACAGCACGGATGCGGTTCATGGATGAATCCCTAAACCCCATCTTGGAAAGCACATCACGTAGGAAACTTTAATTAACCCTGTCATAAGCCTTTTCCATGTCAAGTTTCATGATGAGGCTATGTGCTTTTTGGCCTCTGATTGTTGCTGCTCAAAAGTTCTTTCACTTTTGAGAACATCCTGTTCAGCCTTGATCAACAAGTGGAAAACAATGGCAAAGATGTTCTTATTCCACCATTTTAGATGTTGCTTCAAGCTGATAAGTTTCTGTTGGAACTTGATAAGGCCGTGAGTTCCAGATCAACTTCTATTCTTTTATGTTGCCTTCAAATCAACTTCTATTCTTTTCCCTTTCTTTTTTGTATTTAAGAGGTGCCGAAGATCCCGTTGTTTAAACCCATTGGAGCAGTTTAAGTCTTCATTAGTATCAACATTGTTCTGAACCCAAGTAGGGTTGACCTTATCCATTCAAGTAAGGTCCTCCTCAGTGAAGCCTTCCTTATGTTGGGATTTATCTCTTGGAATCTGATCTTCTTTTTTTCATTGCAAGAAGCTTCTTAGATCCTTTTGTTTATGTCCAAAATTCTTCTTATTACTTGGATTAGAGACAAAATTAGTCGATGAAGCAAGACATCCTTCCAAATCATGTCCCAGATGCTTACAAGAGACAATATTTCGGCACTTTCTCATTTTCCACTTGCTGTTCCATTTCAACACCATTAATGAGCAAATAGATTTTGTCGATCAGAGGGCGAGACACATCAATTTCAATACAGCTCGGGCAGCTGAAATTCTAGCCTTGGGAGTTGTTGGCGTATCCACTTTCAGAGGGGTATCAATCAGTGAGGCAATGGAAAAAAAAGCATCCATCTGGCATAATTGGGCAGGAAGCACAGGGGACTGAACCCAAAATGGTATTGCTGCAGATTCGATTCCAGGTTTAAAAGAAGGATTCCATTTCAAAACTCTCATAGGGAAGCCTCTGCTGAACCAAATTCCTCGAGTCCAAATCCGAGTGTAATCCTCCTCATTGGCAAAGCGAATCAAGATATGTTTAAAAATGATTTGTAATAACTTGAATTCCCCAACTAACTTGAGATGATTGAACGTATCCCAACAATGCTTTTCATGAGGAATATCCTTGAGTGTTTTTTCCCACCAATGAGAACTTGAAATCAATTGCCGGAAGAGCAGTCTCCTCATTTGAAAATTCCAGCGCAGGGCCATTGTTGTGTTCAGTAGTAGAACCAATGGTTTTCGGGTAGGGAATGGAAAAGAAAAGAATTGGTTGAAAGGGGATGTTCTTTGTCCAGAGGGTTCGGAGGATGGTTGGCAACGACTCCAACAAAAGAGTGACGAGCAGGAGGCTCATCACCCATCTTAAACAACAAGCCAGAAACACAAACACCTCAACCCATACTGATCCCAGGGTAGAGTCGAACAGGTGCAGGTTGAGATTCTTCCCTTTCAAACCAGTAGACCAAAACCAAAATTCCAGAACCAAAATAATCATGTGATAAAATCACACCATTAATAAATCAAACTTCACAGGGCACTTAAAAAATCTGCCTACTCGTTCTCTAACACAAGAATATGTTATCCTACCAACTAATCAAGTTCTGTTTATCACACACAAGCCATACAATTCCTAATACCACATGAGAAAGAAGAAGAATATTACGATGCCCTATTTCGATTTCTCCTTACAGAGGATGCGACGAAGAAACGTGGATCGATCCTCATACTACTCAAGATAACTTACAAACATTACCTGGTCGCCGGTGCTGATTAACCTCCTCGATCCCACCTTCGCCCAGTACGTTGCGTAAGCCCCTCCGAATCGCGTCGAAGGATGAGTTCTGCCCTAGCTTTCTGAAATTCGCTAAGTGTGGAATGGATTCGCCACCGAGGAGGGGAAGAAGAAAGCCCGCGCCCTAAAATCGTTCTTACAATTTTCCAAAAGCGCTATATCGTTTTTACCCTTTTTAAAATCCAAAATATCTTTTAAATTTTACAAATAAATTTAAACGCCATTTGTTACGAAGCACAATCGTAACTAATGTTATTTTGAACAAATTATACCAACTTTGTTTTCGTTACGGCTTATTTTGTGTAATTAAAGAACCTGAAACGTTGACCAAAAAAATATTTTTTGGTCACGGAACTTGTTGTAACAATAACCATTATTTGTTACGATATTATTGTAACGAACCATTGAGCCGTGGTGAAAGACCATTTTTTTGGTAGTGCCACTTGGTCCACAGAAGTTACTCGCCAAACCTCCCCCCTTTTTTAAAAATTACTTCTGCGACCGTATTTTTGGGAGAAAGTCTATCCCATGCCGAACTTCTCTTTGGTTGTTTGATCGACCTTCCTAGCCGTTTGAACACGGGTTTTTTGAAATTTGTCCCCCTATGACCTGTCTGATGAGCCGTATTTGATCTTCCAAATCTGGATGGGCACACTCCGGAAACATTGATTGGCGCCGGAAACGGCTCTGTTATCCACTTGCATATCATGTTTTTCGGCCAACTTAAGACGGTCTTCTTTGATTGCCTTCTGGACGGCGTTTCAGAAAGCAATACAGTTGCCAATCTGATGACCATATAGTCCATGCCATTTGCAGAATGATTTTCCATTCAGTTCCTCTTCTGTTGGCATCTTGTGACCTTTCTTAAGGTGGAGCTGGTTGTCTTTCAGTAGGTGTTCGAAGATCTGCTCTGTCTTTGTGATATCGAACGGATAAGATATCTTTGGATTCGTATCTTTCCGTCGAGGCGGCTTAAGAGATGGCCATGTGTAGGGCTTCCCTTGTGTTATTTCTGCCAGGAAGGTCTTCTCTTGTTCTTTATCCTCATTGGCAGCCTCTTTTTGGGCAAAAACACAATGATTCGCACCCTGAAACTTTTGATTATGAACTTCTTGGGCCTCTCTCACGAGTTGTTCGGCCTTCACAGCCTTGGACGTCAACTGCCGGAATTCATGATACTCTTGGAGGGTGAGTTTATCCCGTAATTGATGAGTCATGTTTTCAATAGCCATGTTTACCACCTGATACTCTGGTATACGAACTTGGCACCTAGTTTCCGATCTCCTGAAGCGTTCCAAAAACTGCTTAACGAATTCGTCCCCTCGCTGACGTAAATTAGTCAAGTCTGAGATGGTAACTTCTGGAAGCGGGCTGTAAAATCGCTCATGGAAAGCTCTTTCCATATCCGCCCAAGTGCGGATAGAGTTCGGGGGTAATGAGGTATACCAGGAAAATGCAGGGCCTGTAAGGGACATAGAGAAGAGTTGAAGTTTGTACCAGTCATTATTCATGTACTCTCCTCCGCATTGAGCCGTAAATCAGCTAATGTGCAATCGTGGAGCGAAAATCCTCCCCTGAGAACAATGCGAACTAGGGGATTTGAGCGTTGCGAGGCAACGGGTGATCCAAAGGGATATATCCTAGGAACGGCCGTTGGTAATGAGGCCTGGCCGGTAAACTGATACGATCACCGTAAATCCTCTGTAGTACATCCTCAATCACCTGAGGATTCAGGAGTGGTGGTGGCATTACTTCTGTCTGCTCCCCAAGCTGCTCTGGAGGTGCTTGGGGGAGCGGCAGATTCCGGATCGCCGGCTGCGGAGGGGCCTGAAGAATCGGTTCCCGTGGCGGGAGGTGAAACTTAGGGGCTTCCGCAGCTTCTCTTACCGCTGGGGTCTACTGTACTGGGAGATTACCGGGGGCTGTCTGGGCAACGAATTCAAAATTTTTCTGTGTCCCGGAGCTGGTGGAAAACAGTCCTTCCGCAGTGCCAGCCAGCCCCCCAGCGCAATGGGATGCGGCAGGGGCACTCCCCCTAACCCCCTGCGTGTCCCCAAAGAGACTGGAGCGAACGAAGGTCCTGGGGTCGCTGGCAGTCCTGCCCCCCAAGGGTTTCCGGTTCCCTGTCCAGCCGTCGGATATCCCTAGAGTGCCGGAACGGGAGGCGGAGCGTTTAACGAAACTCCAGTCGATGAAGAACTTGGGTGCCAACACGGGGAAAATGGTACTGACTGAAGGTCATGCCAAACCCTCTTGCCTGGGACAGCCCAGCCAAAGTCTGCTTAGTCGTTGCGCTGGAGTCTTCGAGCTTCCGGACGGTGGCCGGAGGTTCTCCAGATTCATTTTTGCCGAGGATCGTGACGTGACCGTAGCTGAGCGCCTGAGGAGCTGCCCTAGAATTAGCTGAGAGGATAGGATTCGGCCAGATTTCGGGCGGATTGGGGCCGATTACGGAAGCCTTGCCCTTTTGAGTTTCCTCTTCCCGGAGTAGTGCGAATTCTGTTCGTATAGCGGGCTTGAGTACGTTAGTGATATATTTAGACAATTTCAGAGCGGATTTGTGGAGAGAAGATTGGATTTCTCCGCAAATTTGTTCACGGAGAATGCTGGCCGGGAGGCTGATAATGGGATCGGACCTCCCAGCCACTGCAGAGGCTTCATCTCGTGGAGCAGCCTCCTGCGCGGGATGCGACGAATCGCCGACGGTTTCCTTGTTCTTCGACATCTCTGTGTTCGTCGGCAGCGCCAATTTTCTCTTTTGCAGTAGCATGCAAAAAGTCATGAGACGTCGGTGTCCCACCAGGTGTGCCAATCTGTTGTTGTCAAAAAATCACCACCGACGGCTTAATCGGAAAAGCCTGTCGGAATTGATTTTTTCGTAGGGTTCCCCGGCCTCCTCAAGAAAGGATCCGGGCTACCTCGTGATAACTGAAAAAAAAATGGCGAAGAAAGAACAATGTAAGATAGAAATTAACGGTAAAAACTAAATTAGAATTAACAGGAGAAAACTGTAAGAGTATGGAAAGAATGCAAAGGAAAAATTAATGCAGAAGACGATGATTCATGATCCCCGTCCTTCAGCCTTCTTAGGATTTTATTTCTATAATCTTGTTCGGATAAGATCCTTATCCCTTATTTTTCTCCAATTTCCCCAACCTCCTTTTGTTTTCAAATTATGCCTCATCCGTTTACTTGTTGACCGTGGGCCTATTTACTGATCTGGACCTTTTTCTGGGCTTTACGCTCCCGGGACTTGGGCTGCGCCTACTTGGATTAGCCTGGTTGATTTTTTGAGTGTACAACCACATTGATAGAAGTGCCATTATTTCATGACTCAAAAGGTATCTCTTGATCTAATTATCATAATCGATTAAGATATAAATATTAGATTATTAGTCGGACATAGGTTTCTTAGTCCTTATGAATCATCATCATCACCATCCCTATTTATTCATATCATCTACGAATAAAATATATCTATTAAATCAGAGTAATGTAAAAAAGTATCATATAAAAAATTTATTTAAATATTTATAATACAAGATAACATATCGATATAAAAGTCATGCAACCAATTATGTATGCAAATCAGAGTTTGAATGAGTAACTATGGATCTTCTATATATACTATGTGAAAAAAGTGAATTTATATGCAACTATTATAATAAGAATAGATTGGATATCATATGTCATTAATACAAGCTCAGAATGTCGATGACTTTGACCTTTTCAATATTCTAATACATTTGTATCTTCATATTGATCATATCCCCTACTTCTTCCTTTAAATAGATATCCAACTGATTTTTTTTTCAGCATTATTATAGTTTGATTCACAGAAACTTTTATTTCCTATATAAATATTAATTAAATTTTTTAAAAAATAGATATATGCATAACTAAAAAAAAAAACTTTCAAGAAAATAATAATAATAATATAATAATAATGAAGTACTTACATTGAAAAATATTTTATTATTTTCTTTGGATCTCCAGTTTGATTCAATGTACGCAAAGAAAATGACAAGTAAAGTTGTGATGAACTTAATTTGATAATATTATTGTAACCTTAAAAAAATTATATAATTTACTTTTCACAATTGCTATAATTTCTTGACATTAAATCACTGTTAACTTTTAAATTAAAAAAAAAAAAAAACCAGTGATCGCAATTTTATCTTGAGGGTCAATAACAACTTTGAATGCAAGCACAATATTAAGATCGCTCTAATAGTCCATTTTTGCAATAATACTTTTACACATCCCACTTATAATTGCATCATTACTTGGCAAGTTACTTTTTAATAAATATTTAAATTTGTATACTAGAAAAAAATATAAGTTTGATGTTTGATAAGACGAACAAAAAATTTATTTGGTCATATCATAAAACGGCTCAAGAAATTCACATTATTTTTCACTGTTTTTTCATTCCTCATTTAAATGACAAAACTTGTATCCACTCTCTTTCAACATAAGGGAAAAAAAAATGTATTTAATAATATTATCCATCATCAAGCATTTAAATTTCATCGAGAAATAAATCGTTCTTCAAACTAATACTAATACCAATGTCTTTAATTTCTTTTGCACAATCCTGAATTATTTTCATCCGACCTCATGAACCTTTAACATATTTCACAAGTTATCTTATCCTACTCAAAGTTGTTTCACCAACTTTTAAACCTTCATGTACAATAAGTTTCAATATGTGAGCCAAACAATAAATATGAAAAAATCACCTTTACACAACAAATTGTCATATTGATAGAGTTGATATTTTAAAATACTCTGCATAGTATCATTACTCAATGCATTACCCAATGTCAAAGAAAATGCTCTTTCTTCAATTCGACATTCTTTAAAAAACTCTAATATTTTTGCAGCTAATCAAGTCCAATATGTAAATGAAGGAAATGATCACCATTTAATATCTTACTATTCAACTTCCAGATTCATCAACAAAATGAGCTTTCAAACAAATATGTAGCTCTTACTCGTACATACAGTCCATATATCAGAAGTTAAACAAATCTGATGTTAAATATTAGTTAAAAACTTATTTAAGTTTCGTCTCTTCCTTTCAATACAACTTATTAATATCATAAACAACAATATTTCTAGATAATAGGGAGGGTGAGAAATTCATACTTTAAACTATCTTTAATACCATCATATTCGACTAAAGAAAAATGCATATTACGCTTGAAAAATGCAGCAACTATAAACTCGCATACAATATTTGGATTAGCTTCTTTACTTTTTAACTTCACATTAGCATCAACAACTATTATATTATATCATGATATTTCAATCTTTTGCATGTTTTCATGTGGTGCCACAATATAAAAGTTTCATTTTTTTTTTCTCTACTTTTATATATTTTTTTGTAATCCTTGCATTCACAAAAAGCATCTTTACCTAACCCTATTTTTTTAATATAATATTTATCTTTAAAGGTAAAGTAACATAAATATTTAAAAATATATCATACACACATAAAATTATTTCAATAAAGAATGAAAAAAATATATACATACTGTTATGAGAAAACGAGAAAGAAAACAAATAAAAAAACACAGAGGTTCTACGTGATTCGGTGATGTGTCAACCTACGTCCACAGGCAGGAACCAGAGAGACTTTATTATACTAATTCAGAGAGTTACAATTATGTCATACTACTGGGAATCATAGCTATCTATTTATAAGCACCCCCAAAACACCATAAACCCTAAGCCTATTTGTTATTAATTAGGATAAGCCCAAAAGGAACTCTGCCAATTGAAACAGTCCTTTCATTTTGGTTTCAGGTCGGGTATCTCCACATTGACTTGAAGTTTCTCTAACCGCCAAAGGTCATCAGTATCTCTCAGTCGACTCCTTCCTGTCAGATGCCCCGTGAGGACTTTACATCCTGTGAATATTCACCAAGTTTAAGCAGTGCTCGAACTTCTTCGTCTATAGCGCCTTTGTCAACATATAAGTTGGATTGTGTTCTGTAGCTATTTTCTGAATAGAAAACCTGTCTTCCTCCACAAGATCACGGATAAAATTCAACCTTACATCAATATACTTGGTTCTCTCATGATACACTGGATTTTTATCCAAACTCAAAGCACTCTGACTATCACGTAATAGCACCGGTTTATCCACTTTCAGACCCAAACTCTACACTAGACCATGTAACCAGATACCCTCCTTAATACCTTCAGTCATTAACATGTATTCCGCCTCAGTCGTTGACAGTACAAACGTAGGTTGTAAAGTAGACTTCCAATTTACTGCATATCCAACAAAGTGAAGATAAAGCAAGTCAGTGATCTTCGTTTCACCAAGTCACCCCCGTAATCAGAGTCTGCATAGTTAACTAGACCATCACCATGGTCTTTCAGATATCGCAAGATCCACTTTACAGCTCACCAGTGAGCTTTACCCGGATTAGCCATAAGCCTGCTCACCACACTAACCGCATAAGCGAAACCCCGTCTCATACATACCATCGCATACATA